CTAAAATAGGCAATAGGGTATCCGTTCTACTCGTAATTAACTTATGTATTTTATATATATTTTATTTTATTAGGATAGGCTTATCTTAACCCGCTTTTCCTAAAGGAAGGTATAGATATCTAGTAGAGGTCTTTATCTTTAAGGGTTATTCCCTTAGACTATATTATAGAGCCTCTTTTTACTAGCTTATTCTATAGAGCCTCCCTATGCCTATTATTTCTTTATAATAGTAAAATAAGAATATAAAGGTATATTCTTATAATTTTTAATAAGCTTAATTTCCTTTCGCTTTTTTTAAGAGGAAGGAATCTTCTAAGATATAACTTCTAAGCCTATAAGGCTAGTCTAGAAGAATTAAATAATTAAGCTTACTAAGGAGAAATTTAGTTAATTTATTTTTAAATTCCGACCTATCCTTAAAAAGGAACCTTTTAAGAAGTTAGCTTTCCCTACTAAGAGGAATAGGTTAACTATAAAAAGAGACGGTCTTCTTTAATATATATAACTTAGTTACCTTAGCCCTCTAGCTTTATATTAGCTAGGCTAGTAGTAGGGCGTTTAAATTAAAGGCCTTAAAACTATTAAATATAAATACTCTAGCTAAGGGGAGACTAAGAGATAAATTTCTAGATAAACCCTTTTATAGCTAGACTAGCTATATAAGGAAATTTAGGTCTATTAAACTAATATCTTTAAGGACTATAAAAGCTTTATTAAGGTAATATTTTTTATAATTAGGTTTTTAAGGATAATTTTCCCTTATTTCTTAGAGACTTACTTAAGTAAGTATAACTAGTTTACCCTCTAAGACTTTATTAACTAAATTAAATCCTACTTTAGCTATAAGGTAAAGAAGATCTAGTTTAATAGAGAGCTTTTTATAAAGGATATCTTAAATTAGCTTTAAAAAAGGTATATTTTACCCTTCTTATTAATACTAAATACCTAGGCCTAAAATAAAGGGGTAGAAAGATTAAGGGGTACTATAATAAAAAGGCCTTATATAATAAGACTTACTATAAAGCTTCCTTATAACTTTTAAAGGGAAATTATTAAAGCTACTTATTATTTATAAAACTAAACCCCTAAGGACCTTAAGGACCTTAGGAGCTATAAGGACTTAAAGGACCTTATAAAGGAAACCTAGGAAATAGACTAGAAATCCCCTTATAAGCTCTTTATAAAAAAGAGGGCCTTACTAGCCTACCTTTATACTTATAGCTATAAAGTATATACTATACCTACCGATATATAGCTAAAAAGAAAGATAAAAAGAAAGCTTAATTTAAGAGCTTTTATTAAATACTTTATTAGTTATAGCTCTATAAATATCTTTTAAATCTAGATTCCTTTTCTATAAAAGGTTATTTTAACTAAGAATATAATGTTTAATAAATATAGCTTCTTCGACGAATAAATAGATTAATAGCCCCTTTTACTCTCTTAGCGTTAGCTAATTTAAAAGATCTAAATCCCCCCTTTTTAATAGTCTTAAAAAGAGGTCTTAGATAAAGAAAAAAAAGAAACTAATATTAAAGTAATTAAAGATAACGCTAACTTTAAAAAAAGGAAGCTATTAAATTAGACAATCTTAATAAAGAAGGAAACTATAGTAAAGCGGTAAAGCTAGAATACGCTTACCTTCTTATACCTTCTTTAATAAAATAAAAATAAGATCTAAAAGTAAATTCTTTTTATTAGTCTTCTTACTTTAGCTCTTAAAGGGGTAGGAAAGGTACCTTTCTCTCTCTTAAAGGATTATCTAGCTACTATTTTATCCTTACTTTAGGAAGTAAAGGAAGGTATAAGGCCTAATATAATAGAATTATAACCTTTCTCTTATTTCTATTAATTTTCTAACTTTTATCTTATACTTATAAAAGATAGTTCTTATAAAGTATTTATAGTAAACTAGCTTTTTAATCTATAGTTATTAGTAAGGAAGGTATATAAAAGAAACCTTCTAGACCTCTTAGTAAACTAAAAGTAGCTAGAAAAACACCCTTTTAAAAACTAGTTTTTCTAGGCCTAGAAAGACTACCTAGCCTTATATAAAGAGATAAGGTCTTTTAAAGAGGTTCTTAAAAAAAAGGTAAAAGGAAAATAGGCCCTTAGCTATAAGTAGGTCTTTATCTATAGGATTTATAAATATAGCTTCCTTTAAAAGTAGAAGGCCTAGCTAGTAATCTATAGGAACTAGTAGGAAAAAGGGGATCTTCTTACTAAGGTAGCTACCTTAGTAAGTATATCCTTTTAGACCCTTATAGCTATAGTTGTCGCGAAGCGTGGCCTGATTTCGCAGTTCTCGGAGATATCCCTTGGCACGAGGGACCTAGGAAGCTGAAAAACAGGTTTTGAGGAAGGAGCTGAAAGGAGGTGCAGAAAGGAGGGTGGGGGCATGAGGGGAAGCAGAAGTGGCGATGGCTTCCTATGGAGGTGGCGAGAGATAAGACGGATGTGCCGGCAACGGCTGGAAAGGAGAAAAAAAACCGGCAAAAAGCTCGGTAGTTGAAAGGACATTAGTGGCTTCTTTAAGCAGGATCTTCTTTGTCAATTGAGATGCTAGACGGGTATAAAGAGGGGCGTTGGATAGAGGAAAGAAGGACAATTAAGGCAATACAACAATCACTCCCCTACCTTTATTGCTGCCCCCGCAAGAATCAAATCCTTCTGCCCTGCCTGTCTGACCCCTTACTTCCAATTTCACCTTCGTGCATTTTCATGCACTTCTCGCATCTCTCTTCGCGAGAATAGTAGTAGAACTTAACCTTAAACTTAATTAAATAAATACTATAAACGCTTTTATTAACTACCCCCTTAAGAAAGAAAAAGAAGTTATTTATATATATCTTTCCCTTAGTTTCTAATAACTAGAAAAGCTTTTATAGCTAAGGAAAGCTCTATATTAAGTATAGAGATTACCCTTTCTTTAGTAATAGTATTTAAAAGGTTCCCTTAAAGCCTTAAGCTTTAAGAAAGTCCCTTAAGAACTATATATAATATAAAAGGGTATAATTACTATTATTTTCTACGTCGATAATATTATCTAGGCCTACCTAAAAGAGGAAGAAGTAACTATTAAGGAGGCTATAAAAGGCCTATAATAAAGGTATAAGATAACCTAGCTAAGGGAGCTAAAGTAGTTCCTAGAGATTTAAATCTTATAAAATAAGTTCTAACGGACCATCTAGCTTACCTAGGATACCTATATTAATAAGGTCGCCTATAGATTCTTTCTTAATTCCCTTAATAAGAAACTTCCCTTTTCGCTTATATTAAATAAAGATCTTTTACTTAATCTATCTTTTTAAGCTAGGGAGTAAGAGAAATACCTATATTAATAGAAGGTAGGCTCCTTACTTTTTTTAGCTACTTTATTAAACTAGATATCTCTTTTATAGTCTCTTAGCTAGCTAGGTATAACTAAAATTCTAGCCCTAGGTACTAAGAAGTTATAAATAGAGCTATCTTTTATCTTTATTTAATAAGATTATATAGTTTATACTTAGGAGGGTAAGGAAGGAAACTAGCTACTAAAATCTTCTTTTATTTAAGCGATTTAACCTTTATAGATAATTCCTTAGATAGAAGGAGCTTATAAGGGTATATTATATCCCTTTTTAAAGGAACTATTACTTAGAGAGCTTTAAAGTAAGTTACTATTATAACTTTAAGTATAAAGGTAAAGCTACTAGCTCTTTTAAAAGTATTAAAAGAAGCGATTTTCCTTAGCTAGCTACTTATATCTTTATAACTATAAATTCCGACCCTATTATTAATAAAATATAATAATATATAAACTATACTAATTCTTATAGAAAATATAAAGCTATTAACCTAGCTATAGTATATTAATATCTATTCGTATTAGCTATACTAAAAGCTTTAAAGGGGACTTATTTCTATCTATTAAGTTCTAATAGTATTAATAAAAGTAAACGGTCTTATAAAGCCCTTACTAAAGTAAAAGCTAGCTATCCTTTTTATAGTAAATATAGCTAGAAGATATCTAAAAGAAGCTATCTTTAAAGGCCTGCCTTAAGAGTCTATTAGAAGAGCTAATAGTCTATATAAGAAGGCAACGTCTATAGCTAAAGAAAAGAAAGAGGTTTTTCCCTTTAAAGGGCCCCCTATTTTAATTAGGTTTTCCTTCTATAAAGGCCCCTTATCTTATAGGACTTTCTCCTCTTTAGGCCCCTATTCCTTAAGTAGGTCTAAAAGAGCCTAGGGGCCTAAAAGGGCCCTTACTTTCCTCGAGTAAAGGGATAAATATAAAGCTAAGAACCTCCTCTATACGCTTACTAGCTTAAAGCTATATTAGCTATACTTTTAAGGGGCAAGCTATAGCTAAGGGGGTATATCGTAAAGTATAGCTTAATTTCGTAGTTCTTAAAGATATCCCTTAGTAAGAGGGACCTAAGAAGCTAAAAGACCGGTATAGAAAAAGGAAAAAGGAGCTAAAAAGAGGTATAAAGAGGAGGGTAAGGGTAAGAGGGGAAGTAGAAGTAGCGATAGCTTCCTATAAAGCTAGCGAGAGATAAGACGGATATACCGGTAACGGCTAGAATAGAGGGGAAAACCTAGTAAAAAGCTAGGTAGTTAAGAGGATATTAATAGCTTCTTTAAGTAAGATCTTCTTTATTAATCGAGATACTAGATAGATATAAAGAGGGGCGTTATATAGAGGAAAGAAGGATAATTAAGGCAATATAATAATTACTCCCCTGCCGCAACTACTGCCCCCGTAAGAATTAAATATCTTTGCCCTGCCTATCCGACCCCTTACTTCTAATTTTACCTTCGTGCATTTTATATGCACTTCTCGCATCTCTCTTCGCGAGAGAATTAGCTAAATCAAAATATAAAGTGTAATTAACCTTCATATAACGGATCCATCCCCTCGGGCGTCGTCGGACGCGTCGCCTGATGGCGCGTTGCAGCCACGTCGTTGGTTGCCTCTTTCTGCCACTGTCCGTTCTATTGTCAAGCCGCCAATCACCATGACGCCCAGCCAAGAACCTACAGCAGAAGGCGGGCACGCGGCGCCGGCTCCCTCGGACAACTCTGTCAGCTGTGTCGTTGAGACGCGCAATGCCGAGAGCGAAGGTGCTGCAGCCGACCGCCTCGGGCTCAAACAAGACCTCCTGGGCGCTCTATCAGGCATCCAGACGTCGGGGTCCTTTGCGTTGTTTGGCGTGCTGCCCCGGCCGCCGCCTGCGGGCATCTTCGTCGATGGCATCGGCGACATCGCCATGCCGCTCGGGGAGTCTCAGACGTCCCAGCTCATCGCAAAGGCCCGCCAGGCGCCCTATGGCAAAGGGAGCACCACCATTGTCGACACTGCCGTTCGGAATACGTGGAAGCTGGACGCAGAGCAGTTTGCCTTGCGGAGCTCGGCGTGGCCAGGCTTTCTTGGGGCTTTGTGTACCCGCGTGGCCCGGGACCTGGGGATCAACTCGACCATCACGGCCAAGTTATATAAGATGCTCATCTACGAGAGAGGTGCCATGTTCAAAGCACATACTGAGTTTGTGTCCCCGCCATCCAAGGGGCCTGATTCTCTGCCCTGTCGCCTGACCATGGCCGCATAGCACCGAGAAGATTCCGGGCATGTTCGGCACCCTGGTCATTTGCCTGCCATCGGCACACCTGGGCGGAGAGGTGGTAGTCAAGCATTATGGCCGGAAAAGGGTCCTGAGGACGTCCGAGGCCGCGCAGTCTTTCGCCAGCTGGTACTCGGACGTGTCGCACGAGGTCCTTCCTGTTACCTCAGGTGTCCGCTGGGTGCTAACCTACAACCTCGCCCTCGATTTAGACGCGGCATGCCCGTCGGCAGGTCTACAACGGTCCGAGACGCGCGCGCTCCGCCATGCTCTAAGACGGTGGTTTGCCGAGGACAAAGCGTCGCGTCAGAGGCACTTTGTCTACCACGTGCTGGACCACGAATACACCGAAGCCAACGTCTCTCTCAGGGCCTTGAGGGCACGAGATCTGGCTCGGGTTCAGGCTCTCAAGGAGGCGTCCGCCGAGTTTCCCCTTCACATCTTTCTCGCGCTGCTGGAAAAAGAGGAATCCGGAAGCTGCGAGTACGACCACTGGGAAAGGAGGGACTACTCCCGGTATTATGATTGCGACGAGGACGACGAAGAGGAAGAAGTAGATGAACCAGGCTACCATAACCTTGAGGAGGTCTTCAAGACACGCTACGGAGTCAAGACTCTTGTTGACTTGGACGGCCGTATGGTGATGCAGGGTTTGCAGCTTGATCAAGATGACATCCTCCAAGGAGTACAAAGGGTATATGGGCAACTCGCTATTGCTCCATTAGTTTGAGTCCGAGCCCAGATTCTGGGCTGACATATTAATTGCCACAGGGGCCGACAGCGACGCATTGGTATCGCGCCACGGTATGACCCGAGTCCTCCTCGTGTTCAGTCGCTTGATTGCTGAAGCGACCACAACCTAGGCCGTCGCGATGGTCCCTTGCGACTGGATCGTCTCTTTCTTCAATTCCGGCGATCCTTCTCAATGCCATTCCTCGTCGCGCAGCAGCCTTGCGCTACAGATCCGCTATCTGGCCAGAGCATGTTTGCGGCCCGAGGCGCCGGAGCCTTCCATCATCGCTCTGGTAACCCTCTGCGAGAAAGCGTGGGCTCCCCAGCACGACACGAGCTACGGCCACGGCGCGCAGCAACCGTCGGTGGATGCCCAGGGCAGACGCGACGTCCTCAAGGTTGCGGTCCAGCGCGGACGACATGCCCTCTTCGAACAGGCTGCTTTACACCACCAGGGCCTTTTGACGCTCGACTTTTTCGCTTGGATGCGGCAGCGGCTGGCGATTGGTCATGGTGACCCCGATGCACTGTTCAACGCCTTCCAGAAGGGGTATGCGGATCAGTTTACCAACTCAAAGCTGTGCGTCAAGCTAACCGCAGTAGAATCTCCTCTGCCGTTTCGTCGTATCCGCATTTCGCAGACCAAGTCAGGGCAATTTCGAACCTGGCGCCCATGCCGCGCGACGCCTCGACCTCCGGCGCCGTCTGCACGTCTCGTTGCGTCCTTGATTGGGCTCGCGGGATGCTCAGCTCTTGCCGTGCCTGTTCTCCGTCTACTTGATCGTACGATTTGTTCCAAAGTGCCTCCACATCAAACAAGCCGTTGCTCCAAAAATTGAAGTATATCTGCGGCGAATCTACACTTTTCTTGCACACATGAGCTGGGTCTGGGCAGCCTCGATTGAAGAGGCAATGCACGGTGACGAGCGGAAGGCCTCCTGGTTTGCGTCTGGTTGTTACACAAGGGGGGCTGCGCTCGGTGAGCGTAACAAGGAGGACGTCGTGGCTGGACTGTTGGTTCCACGTCGAGCTCAACCCTGTTTGCGCTTTCCTCTCTGCTGCTCTCCAAAGTTACTGCAACCCAGACCCTGCACAAATCTTGAAGCACTTATGCTAAGTTGATTCTGCAGCTGGCCTCAAAGGGAAGCTGTGGCTGCTGCTGTGATGCACAACCGTCTCAGGCAGGGGCTTCGGAGCTCCAGGCCGTTTCCACTCAAGCCTAGACTTTTAGCAGATCTTGCTTTGGCACCTGGGGCACGGCAAACACTCCAGCTTGCTCCCTGGGACGCAGGAGCGCGGTCGCACCGAGGCACCCGGTTGGCAGATACGTGTAACTATCTATGCCGGAGGCCCGCCGGCAACTTCGCTCTTCAGGCCTCCCACTCGTCTGGGCAAGCTATAGTGGCCAACAGCCCGAAGCCGGAAACGCTGTGGCTGTACGCAATTCAGCAGGGCTCTTGGGGATGTCAGTAGAGAGAGCCTTGCAGTGTGACTTGTTTGAAACCCCAAATGCAGTGTAGACGCGAATTACTGCTGGTCTCAAGCAGCCTGTCCCCTCCTACTGGTGGTGAGGCAGTCCAAGTGAGTGCCATATTTACTGCTGCTGAGGGTGACAGCCCTAGAAAAGACAGCCCTAGAAAAGAGTACAGCCTGGCCCTGGGGGAGGGGGGGGGGCAGCATTCACCGTGTACGCCCCTGGCATAGCAACCAGAGCTGCCGCAGCTGGCGAGTCCCTTCCCCCCCCTCTTTCTGTCCTCCCCAACTCTCTTTCCTCCCCAGCTCTCCTTCTTTCCTCCTCAGCTCTCTTCCCACCCCCTCACCCTCTCTTCCCTTCCACTTCTACTCCCACTTTTCCAACCCCTTCTTCAACCCCTTCTTCAACCTTGACGAGCATGAAGCCTTGAAATGGCAAGCAACAGGTACGCCCAAGTCTCCCATCCATCACAGCTCACTCACTCTACTCTAGGATATTTATGCTAACAAACCACTGCTTCTTCAAGAACTCCAAGACGTGGGCCAGCCGGCCCAGACCAGCCCGAGAAACCTTGCTTCACCTTTCAAAGACAAGGGAGCTGCCGGTTCGGTGCCAGATGCAGGTACTCTCACGATATACCGCAAAATCAGGAACACCGCTCCGAGCGTTCCAGACACTCTCCGTCCACTGGGCCATCTGTGGCCAAGAAACCCCCGCCAGCGCAATATGGCAAGTTTCAACAGTGGAAGCGAATCCTCGACCAGGGCACGCAGGCTTGCCGACCCTCTCCTTCCGTCGTAAGCCAGTTTTTCCAGCTGGGTCGAGACCTGATGGGCGGCGACGTCGGCGTGGCCCAGGAGGTGATTAAACTTCTTGCCGACGAGGCTGGTCTTTCCTTCATCAAGGACGTGTCGGATCGTCACCTCGCAGTGGCTTCTACCGCGGCATCGGGAACAAGCTTCTGGACTACCGAGATCAAGCCATTATTTGAGCTCATCACTCACCATAGGGTCGTCGACTCCGCCGTCTTGGAGCACGAGGTGGCGGCCCTCTTCAACTACCTTCTTGGAGTCGGCGGCGCCCGTATGGCCAGGCTTTTCGGGTACATTGCTCAGCTGGTCCAGTCCTGGCCCGCCAGCTCACCAGAGGCTTCCCGCATGGCAGCACTCGAGCTTTCTCTCGCCGTCTTGTCTAAAATCTTGGACTGCAACACCACCAACATTGTCAACGAAGCCTTTTCCACCTTAGCCTCGCTCTTCTCAAAGTGCCTCGATGGCGAGACAACGCAGCCGGAAGACGAATTCTCTCGACTCCAGGCCTCGAAATATCTCGACTACATGCGACGACGACTCGAAGTTGGCGCCGGAATCACTGAGTGGCAGGCTATCACCCAGGTCGGAGCCCACCGGGAACAGTTTGTGCTCAGCAGAGACCTCCCTGGTCGCTTGTCCGCGCAAGGGGCGCGCCACGATAACGACCATGCCGAGATACACGAGATCAAGATCCTCCCCACGTTCGACGAAATCATGGCGCTGCGGGGAGAATATCTACCGACTACCGATTGCTCGCAATGGCACATCAAGGGCATCCGCGGCCGCCTTGACCGCGAGTTTCGCCTCGTGCGAGAGGACACGGTTGGCCAGCTTCGAGACGCCGTTCGTCAAGCCTTTGAGTACCTTCGCACACCCAACAGCAGACGCGCCGACAACCCCCGAGATGGTGTACGCACATACACATACGGCAATGCCGTGCCAATCGACGCCACATTTGACCGGTTTTGTGGCCTGGAGCTCATTGTGCGCTGCAGCCAGCCTGCTCCAGTCCAGAGGCTTGATCTCAAGGGGCGCAAGGACTGGTGGACGCAGAGCAAGCGTCTACAGCCTGGAGCATTGGTGTGTGCCATTAACGCATTTGGCTCGGTCCTCTTCTGCGTCGTTTCAAGCTCGACGATGAGGACCACGGATGATGAAAAGGCTCGTCAGAACAAAGCAAAGGACTTTGAAGATGACCTGTCGGCATCTGTGGCGAGCCACAAAGCCCATACCCTCTCAGACGACCCCGAATACCTCCACGTGAAGCTACAGTTGATTGATGCCGGTCATCTAGAGGTCAGCAGGGCCATGCGATGGTACCGCGGCCAGGGAGCGAGAGAGCCGATCGTTCGCTGTCTTGTAGAATTCCCAGGAGTTATCCTTGCGTCCTTCAAGCACACGCTTGAAGGTCTTCAGCAAATGTATCGGAAACCCGATCTGCCTTTTAGCGGCATCCTTGCGCCGTCGCACGATGAGTCTCCTGAGATTGATATACAGCCTCCGATGTATGCAAGAAAGCCAGGCTTCTCGTTTGACCTGGCGTGCCTGAGTCATGATAATGCAGCATTCGCTGTGTCTGCTTTTACCCCAACCGACCCCGAAGAGGTTGCATCTCGATCGACACTCGACTTGACGCAGTCTATTGCGCTTCTCAACACCCTGCAGAGAGAACTGTCGCTCATTCAAGGCCCACCGGGCACCGGCAAGAGCTATACCGGGGAGAAGATTATTAAGGTATTGCTAGCGAACAAGAAGCAGACGCAGATCGGACCCATTCTCTGTGTTTGCTACACCAACCACGCACTAGATCAACTTTTGGAGCACCTGCTCGACGACGGGGTCGACAAAGTGATTCGGATTGGCTCCCGCTCTAAGTCCGAGAGGCTAGAGGATCTCAATCTTAGGGCAGTCGCAGGAAAGATGGACAGGACCAAGTCGGAGAAGAGTGGGTTGTACCACATGGCGTTGTCCATCAAAGACATTGTCCAGCAAACGAAGGGTCTGCTCAAACAGCTTTCACAGAGCGGCTCTTGGCGTACAGTCAAAGCTTTCCTGTCGGAAAACCACCCCACACAGCACGTTGAACTATTCGGAAAAGCAGAGGACGGGTTCGAGGTTGTGATCCATCACCCAGAGAGAGTTGTTGACCAATGGCTTGCAGGCGGCGCTCGTGACAGCCGCCAGCCTCGGGAGCTCCGAGTCCTTAAGGAAGCACGGCTTATGAGCATGAGCCGCGCAGAACGGAGGGCCATTCACGGCGACTGGCTGAAGAGCATCAGGGAACCTGTCATCTCCAAGATTGGGAAAATCCATGAACAATACACCGAGGCTGCAGAGAAGCAAGCCCGCGTGCGCAGCGATGCAGACTTGCGCTGTCTCCAGCAAGCAGCCGTAGTCGGGGTCACGACGACCGGCCTCGCAAGGAAGCTAGATCTTCTCCGGCGACTGCGGTGCAAGGTGATGCTGTGTGAGGAAGCTGGCGAGGTGCTCGAGGCCCATGTCCTCACGGCTCTTCTCCCGTCCTTAGAGCATGTTGTGTTGATTGGAGACCATAAACAGCTTCGCCCGCAAATACAAAACTACGAGCTGCAGAGCACCAATCCTCGGGGCGCACAATATTCCTTAGACATGTCCCTGTTTGAGAGGCTGGTCCAGCCGACTCATCCGAGCGATCCACGGATTTCGTTCAGCGTGCTGGAGACCCAGAGACGAATGCATCCAGATATCTCTAAGCTGGTGCGGTCGACTCTATATCCGTGCTTGAAGGACGCTGAGGCGGTGGCCAAGTATCCGAAAGTAATCGGGCTCAGGGAACGCTTGTTCTGGCTGCACCACGAAGAACTCGAGGGTGCAGCCGCAAGCCGAGATCCCCTCAATACATCACACACCAACGAGTTCGAGGTCGAGATGACGGCAGCCCTAGTTTCTCATCTCGTCCGACAAGGTGAATACTCCCAGGGGGACATTGCAGTCATCACACCGTACTTAGGTCAACTGCACCGGCTGCGACACCGGATGGGATCTATGTTTGAGATTTGTCTAAACGAACGCGATGCTGAAGAACTTGATACCCTTGAGGCTGAGAATCTTTCGGCTCAGATGGCGCTGCGATCCTTGGTCAAGAAGTCAACCCTTCTCAAAAGCGTCAGAGTCGCCACCGTGGACAACTTCCAGGGTGAGGAAGCAAAGGTTATTGTCATATCTCTTGTTCGCAGCAATCCTCAGGGAAAATGCGGCTTCTTAAGCACCTCCAACCGGATCAACGTTCTCCTCTCGCGAGCGCAGCACGGCATGTATATCCTCGGCAACTCCGACACCTACAAAAGCGTGCCAATGTGGTCGGATGTGATCAAGATGCTCCAGACGTCGTCCCGCCTTGGCAGGGTCTTGGAGCTGCAGTGCCCGCGACACCCGGACGCGCGGCTTGCCGTGTCTCATCCAGACCATTTTCTTCAATTCTCTCCCGAGAGCGGATGCATTCTACCCTGCGACAAGAGACTCTACTGCGGCCATTCGTGCCTCGGAAGATGCCATTCCGACGCCTTGCACAACGCGGTCAAATGCCTGGAGAAGTGTCCCAGGCCCAAGAAGGGCTGTGAGCATCCTTGTCCCCTTCCTTGCGGAGAGATTTGTCAGGAAAAGTGTCACGTCCGTTTAGACGACATTGATCTTGTCCTTCCCTGTGGTCATCGGCTTTCCTCGGCGCTTTGTTGGGAAGCGCAGGACCCTTCTTCCATTTGCTGCTCGGCGATGGTCACACGGACGGTTCCAGGCTGCGAGCACAAAGTGACGGTCCCATGCTACGAGGATGTCGAAGCCGCGGTCTTTCACTGCACTGCAGCATGTGGCAATCACCGGATCTGTGGCCATGAGTGCAAAAGTCAGTGTTTCCGCTGCAATACTCGAGAAAACGGAAAAATCATCAGGCAGAACCATGGCATCTGCAAGGTGGAATGCGGCCGGAAGTACTCCAACTGCCGCCACAGCTGCTCCCAAATATGCCATGGCGAGACCAACTGCCCGCCATGCAGCAAGCCGTGCGAAGTTCGTTGCAGCCACTCAAAGTGTGGCAAGCCATGCCACGAGCCTTGTGCTCCATGCGCCGAGGAATCGTGTCAGTCACGCTGCCCTCACGCGCAATGCAATCTACCATGCGCCGCCCCGTGCGATTGGGTCCCTTGCTCCAGGCGATGCGAGAAGATCATGGATTGCGGCCATCAATGTAACTTTATCAACCTACTGGCCATGGCCATCCCATGCCAGGGCAGACTGTGTTTGATCTAATAAGAAATAGGCCCTTCTCTCTGCGGAGAGCCTTGTCCAGGTGCGATGTATTGCCAGAAATGCGCATCTCCCGAGGTGAAGTCGACCTGCGTCGATCTCATCGAAATGAAGGAATACGGAGAAATCGACCTAGACGACGAGCCCTGCATCTTTCCCGATTGTGGGCATTTCTTAACAGTCTCGTCGATGGACGGTCAGATGGACATGCCGGCGCACTATGGCATGGATGCAGACGGGCTTCCAACAGAGATCAAAGGACTTTCTGAACCCTTCTCGATGACTGACGTGGGCATCAAGGTTTGTGCAAACTGTCGTGGTTCGCTCCGAAACATCTCGAGGTATGGCCGAATTGTTCGTCGGGCCATGCTCGACGAGGCAACCAAAAAGTTCGTCGTCTATTCGAATTCTATGAGTTTGTCGCTCGCGGAAAGCCTTTCTGTAGAACAAGAGAGGCTGGAGAAGAGTCCGGTTACCCGGGCAGTTCCACCAGCAGACCATAGAGCGCAGCTTGTCAGCGGACGTCTGCCACTGCTTTCCTACCTGAAGAGGTTGGTAGGTAACGGGCGTTACGACAGAATGATCCAGCTCTGGCTCAAGATCAACTCGTACGCAAAGCAAGTACGCAAGGAGGAACAGCCCTTTCACCGAGTGGCGGACCTTTTTTGGCATGCCAATCGCCAGCACAAGACACAGAAAAAGTTTCTGTACGATGAGTCGGTCACCCAGGTTGGGGGATCTCTTGTCGCTGCCAGGCTGCTGCTGAAATGCGACATCATCGTTCTCTCCGATCTGCTCGAGTTGCGTAAAAAGGGACAGGGGATTCAGGCTGCTATCGAGTTGGACTTATCCGCTCATCGAATGGACTGCCAAGACCTGATAAAGCTTGCCCGAAAAGCCGTCCGCCCCAAGGAGGAAGTGCAGGGCCATGTCTTTGCGGCTCAGTTTTGTGGGCTCTGCATCGCTCTCGATTCACGACCGCGAGCCAACGGGATCGAGGACATGGTTGATACAGACTCTGCCACTAAGGGCCTGAGGGAGGAGGCCTTGAACCACGTGGCTGAGGCCCGGGCCTTGTTGGAGAAGTATAAATCGACCGCCGGTCTCAAGGACGAGGTAGACGCGGCCGAGGCGATGCTCAACGATGGCGTCTACCGCCCTGTCACCGCCGATGAAATACGAGCTGTCCATCAAGCCATGGCTCAGGAGTTTAGGGGGACGGGACACTGGTATACCTGCGTAAATGGCCATCCCTTTACCATTGGCGAATGCGGAATGCCCATGGAGTTGGCCAGGTGCACCGAGTGCGACGCTCCGATTGGCGGGCAAAACCACTTGAGTGTAGAGGGAGTACGCCGTGCGGACGAAATTGAACATCTTACCGGGGGCATCGACAGGATGGGTCTGTAGGATGACTGGATTGAGGGACACTGGCCGAAAAAGCTGAAGGGGTCGTGGAACTGTTTGTGCGGACCAGTAACCAGGAGCGGTGTTGCTGAGTTGTCGCCGCGGTGGGGACGTCAGTCTGTAGGGGAGCGCGATTCTGAGGCTGAGTAAGGCCAATTATAGCTCCACCTGGGCGTTTGCTTAGCTCCTTGGTATGCGCGACTCATGCCAACCAATAATACCTTGTCCACAAAAAGGGAAGCAGAGGCCGAACGCGGCACTACCTTAACTATACAAGTAGGGAGGAGTTAATGCTAGGGATAGGTCGTTCGACGTCTGTTTCCAGATGGTGCATTACGGTATTACCTCAGCAGCCCAGCAAATAACCACAGGGTAAGCGCCCTTGCATGATGCGGGGCAAAGGGAAGCTCCGCCACGCGCCGCCCTCGGACCTGTCCAGGCTGACGTCGTTTGTTGGTGCTGCCCTCGCCATTGTCATCCCGAGACAGTCTTTCACGAGTCCACTGCCAAACACACGCGCGCGCAAAGGATTCGCTTGACCCGCCAGCTGTCGGTTGCCCCATGAGCCCCGCGCCGCAGCTCCAGCGCCGCCCATTCCTCGCCCTCTCGATGCCGCAGTCGACGACATACAGCCTGGACCCTTGACGGGCCCTGGGGTCAGAGGCTTCTGTCTTGCAGGAACATGGCCTCTCTTCCTCGACGCTTTCGGGCCTCGACCTCGACCTCGACCCAACCCACGTCCAAGGCCTTTGACATTCTGCGCGGCTTGATCGACAGCCTCGCGCGCGACACGGCTTCGTCGGGCCCCAGCGGATACCCAGACATCAACAAGCTCCGCAAGAGCCTGCAGCAAATCTGCCAACATGTGGCTGCTTCGACATCGTCGGCGCTGCGGGACGACTTTCGCCATGCGCGTGGTTTTGAATCTGTCTCGGCGGTCCTTCGCGGCTTTTCAGGATACTACGATCCGCACAAACGAAGCGAGCCTGAGATGCTCTCGCTATTCGCGCTGCTGGGGGACTGTCTGAGCGTTCTGTCGGCTGCGCTCAAGGGCCATTCCGGCAACAGGCGCTTCTTCCGATATCGCGTCGAGGGGGGCGGATGGGACGCTCTCGAGCAAGTCATTGCGAGCATTGGCCTGGGCGGCGCTGAGCTGGACCCGTGGGCTAGTTGCCATCTGTTTGGCAAGCTGCTTGCTTTCTCGCTCGACGAAGACGGCTTGGATCTCCTCTGCCAGTCCATTGCCAAGGCACTGCGGTCGGAATCCACCAGTGGTTCGAGCCAGACTGACGAGAAGAGGCCCGTCGACGAAGAAGACGAGCAATGGGATCTCGCGCTGGCACGCTCCATCGAGAGCATAGCGCCTGCAGTTCGAGAAGTCGTCAGTTCCAATACCATCATCCGCTTCCCCGAGATCCTCAGAGCCGTCGTAAGCTTCTGGAAGGCCATTCCGCGACCCCAAGACTCTTCGGCGAGCCCCAGCTCAGTGCTCCTCCTCGAGACCATATTGTGCGCCATTTCAACTTCCTTCTACAACCGTGCCGCTGTTCACTCCACCGGCGTCCTGTCCCAATTTCTCCACGTGGCTTTTGGACAAGATTCTTGGCTTGCGCAGCCCGAACGCGAGAAGCTGCTGGCGATATGCAAGTTGCTCATGTTTCTGGGAGTCAATCGGCCGGCTGATACTCAGTTTCTTCTCACCGTCCCGGGATCTGAGGCTTCTGACTTTTGCCTGGAAATGATGGCCGAGCACGCGGGACCGCCCTTCTTCCAGTTCGACTTGTCGCTCAACGGACATTCTTCCCTCGAGCTGCCCAGCCTCGGCCGCACGTTCCCCCCCCAGTCGACTGGCGGCTACACCTTTACAGCATGGATCCGCATCGAGTCCTTTGATCCGAATGCCCACACAACCATCTTTGGCGTCTTTGATGCCTCGCAGACATGCTTCGTGCTCATATACCTCGAAAAGGACACCCACAACTTGATCCTCCAGACCTCCGTCTTCTCCAACAAGCCCAGCGTGAGGTTCAAGACTGCCGTGTTTCAAGAAAAGCAGTGGTATCACGTCGCTGTTGTTCACCGGAGGCCCAAAACCATGACCGCGAGCAAGGCATCCCTGTACATCGACGGGGACTTTGCCGAGCAGATTCGCTGCAGCTACCCCAGCGCGCCTCCGCTCCTAAACGGCAGCACCGAGAGCTTCGTGTCGTTCAACTCGAGTCAGAACAGAACGAATCCGGTGCAGGCGTTTCTCGGGACACCCCGCGAGCTGTCTGGGCAAACGGGCCCCGGCGTTGTCTCTTCACAATGGTCGCTTGCCTCGGCCCATCTGTTCGAGGACGTCTTGACGGATGACTACTTGGCGGTCCACCACGGCCTGGGCCCACGCTATCAGGGGAACTTCCAAGATAGCCTCGGCGGTTTCCAAACATACGAAGCGTCGGCTGCCTTGGGCCTTCGCAATGAAATCGTCCACCCAGGCAAAGATGAGAATTCGGACATTCTGCGAGCAGTGCGAGAAAAGGCGAGCTCACTTCTCCCGGAGTCCAAGATCCTCCTCAGCGTCCTCCCTACCGCGACGTTTCCCGAACACGTGCAGTACATGGACACTGGTGTCCTCCGCTCTCTGCCTCGGGCGTCGATACGTAATCTCTTCCATATGGCCAACCAAGAAGGGTCGCCGCTGGCTGTCAACTGCGCAGTCTCGAGTTTGTCGGATGCTCTCTTCAGAACCCATGGGATCGCATCGCTCCGGGGCACCCCCATCATTGTCGTGCCGTCGCACCTGGACGAGCATCTGTGGCGTCTCGCTGGCTTCACACCTCTGGCTCTCAAGCTGCTGGAGAGAGCGTCGACGGTGGAGGAGACTGTCCGCGCCCTCGAGATTGTTTTCCACTGCATCCGCAGGAGTTGGCGCAATAGCGAGGCCATGGAGAGGGACAATGGGTATGGCATCTTGGGCATGATCCTGCGATTCAAAATCGGATACGGAAACCTTGCAGCCGGGGACGTGCCGGTATCTCGACTATTGATATCCGCTGAGGAACGCGACAGCCTGACACTTCGGGTGCTGAGCCTGGTATTGGACTTTGTGGGCTACAACCATGTAGACCCCATCGAGTCCTTCATCGTCAACCCGCTTGCCTACCGGATCCTCCTCATTGACTTGGACATTTGGCGACGGTCTGCGCCGCGCACCCAGGAGCTATTCTACAGGCAGTTTGTGACATTTGCCGTAAACAGCAAGCATCACGACTTCAACAGTAGGAGGTTGATCCGAATGCGTATGTCGCGAGCACGTGATGCTTGCCCTTCGTCGGCTGATTGTTGCTGTACAGGAATCGTGAAAAGGTTGCTCGACGCCATGAAGGGCGAGGGAATTTCTGACGACGTTCTGGACCACTTCATGAATGCATTTGAAGCCCTCGTCAAGTCAAATCTCAGCCAAGAGGTGCTGAGGTCGATGTCGCTGTTCATTACGTATGCCTTTCACACACCGCCCCCATCGACATCGCGAACACCCAGGCCCCTTTCAGCCATTTCGCGTTCCAGCACACCCGGCCTTGGCAAGAGAGGACCTGGGGATGTCAGCAGAACGCACAGCCCCTCTGTCGGGAGTAAGATGCTCTCAAAGAAACTCCTCGGCAAACGGGTGTTGAGCATGTACTCTGGGATTCTCTGCGAAAAGGGCAACATCAACAACGTCAAGAAGTTTGCCCGAACGGTGACCAACAAGGTGAGTGCTCTGGCTCGCAGGCGCGTCCATACTACAATTCTAACCTCAAATAGTGGCTGCTTTATTTATTGGCAGACGACGATGCCACCGTTGTCCTCCATGGCTGTAAGATCCTCTCCAGGCTCCTCGTGGTCCAGGGCTCTTCATACGCGTCCAAGTTTTCGGGGAAATCCGGGGGGTTCACAATCGTGGCGAGCCGGCTGAAGCGGTTCTGGGACATCCCCACGATCTGGCCAATCTGTTTCAGCATCCTGTTCGGATTTGATGTTGCGGACATTGATTTTGATCGCAACTTCGACGTGGACGAGCTGTTTGGCATGTTTGGCAAGCGGAAAGTCGTCTACCCTGATGCGTTAATCGTTATCACGTCTTTGCTGCAGCATGGCCTGAAGGAGGTCATGAGGCACCAAGAGGATCCCGATTCGCCGGCGAAACTGGATCCGCCAACCGCGGCCCCGAACGCGGCTCTGAAGCCTGACGTTGATTATCGAGCGCTGTCGATGGCCCTGGATAGGGCGCTGGAGTCACGACGTAGGCATCCCTGTTCGATGATGCAAAACGGTTGCTAACCTGTGCTGCAGTGGCATTTTCAAAGAACCACGAAAGGGTGGCTAGTCGTGTTGGCGTCTTGGGAACGACTGTCCGTTTTCTGCAGGTGCTTCAGGCGCGATCACAAGAGTTTCGCGACTTTACCCTGGGCTCCGAGTGGGTTCGCATGCTGCTCTTGGCGTTGTATCCCGTCATTGTTAGCACGGATGCGGTCACACCTGACGTCGAATTAAACTCTCGAGACTCGGCTCTTACGTTCGATGGCAGCGACGTCATCATCAGGCCGATTGGAGGAGGCCCGGCTGCCGCTCCGATTGTGAGGACGAGCACAGTGGATATTGCGCCATCGCCACAAGCAACGCCTCCCAAGGGCACACCGCTTCGTCGAGCCTCGTCCTTTGTTCTCTTGACTGCGCAAACCGTAGCTCGTGCTGATGACCTTTGGCCGGCACCCGCCCCGCAGCTCAAGCTTCAACAGAGCCATGGCGGCGTCCTTTCTGAAGAGATGCTGGACTTGCTGCTCGGTGTCTTTGTGGATCAGGTATTCACACGCAAAGACTTCGCAGGCTTCGGTCTGTTCAGCAAGGTGCCCCCAGGGTTCCAAGAGCATCAGGCCTACCTTGAATCATACATACTGAAGCGGGTCATTACAAAAGTCTCGGGAAAGATTCAAGGCAATGAGAATATCACTTGCGAGCCGCGGATACTCACAAATCTGTCCCGGCTCTGTTTGCATATTTCCGAGGCCATTTTCGAGGGCTGGTTTATCGATGGGGCGGAAGTCATGATTGACTTTAGCGGCATGCTGATTGAAATGCTCCAGCGGCCCGAAATCTCGAAGCTCAAGAGCGTCCGTCTGTGCAGCCAGGCGGTCTCTATGGTCCGCAGCTGCTTCCTCAGGATCATCCTCCTCAAGCTTTCGGATCTGGACAACCCCCGAATTGCGGAGAAGGAGGCGAAGGACTTCATGAACAAGCTCGCTTATTGGCAGATGCCGATTCTCGAGTGCTTTTCGCTGGAGGATGATTACCTGAAGCTGTTTTGGTACCAGCTTTACACGAAGCTCATTGATGACAAGCCATCCATCCGGATTGCCGCTGCCAACTTTCTGCGCATCGTCCTCGTTCAGAAACCGGAGGAGTCCATCACAACGATTCGCTCATGCATGGCGTCGGATCAAAGAAAACTGTCGAGGGAGTTCCAGAAGCTCACGGAAGTGGATGACGAGACGTTTGTGATTTGGGTAGACCAGCATCGGCCGTCTTTGGACGGGCTCTTCTTCGGCAGTATGGCGAAGACGTGGGAAGACTTTGTCAGCACGGAGAACCAACGGACGTGCGAGACGGCAAGGAGCCGCCTGTGGAAGCGCAGGGAGAGGCTCAAGGCGTGGCATTCAGAGTTCGTCAGCGCGGAAAAGGCGCTACTGAATCATGAGGTGGGCAACAGCGCTTGGATGAAGAGCATCTACAACACAGAGTACTTCAAGTATCAGCGTCTCCTGCAAGACCAACAAGACGACCTGTCTTTCCTCACGGCAGCCTACAGCAAGATGGAGCGGGATCTGCGGAGGCCGGGCGCAGTCTTTAGCGAGCCAGCTCCGCCCAAGTGGAAGTTGGATCGGACTGAGGGGCGCAACCGGATGAGGCTGCGGCTGCTGCCGGATTCTGCCGGCGCCGATGTCAAGTATCAGCCGAAGAGGAAAGCAGGCGAAGCGCGATCCCGTGCAACATCAAGTGGACCGTCGGACACGCCGCCGTCTTTGAGTCGCTTCAGCGGCAACGACGATGCGTCGACTTTGAACCCGGAGCCTGCGCTGGCGTCCGACCAGTCAGAGTCAGGATGTGCCCCCGAAGACGACTTTGAGCTTGTCGACGACCCCAACGATCCCAACGAGGGCGACGAGAACTATGAGGACAAGAATCGCAAGGTGATGCGGCGGCTCGAGCACGGCGATCACGTACAGGCTGCCCACAACATGTCGCGCATCACCGGTCTCGAGGCTTGCGAAGGCCTTCTGATTGTGGGCAAAGACGCTCTCTACATCATGGACAATGTGTTTCAGTGTGCAAGCGGAGATATCGTCAATGTGTGGGAGGCTCCGGCCGACGAGCGCGATCCCTTCACCATGGTCGTCACTGGCGCCAAGACGCTGGAAAGGCGACAGAACTCTGCAACCCGAGACCAGGAATGCAGACACTGGAAGTGGCAAGATGTCATCAGCGTCTCCAAGCGCCGATTTCTCTTTCGCGACGTCGCCATTGAGATATTCTTTACAGATGGACGGAGCTATCTGTTGACGACAATCAATCCCGCCATCAGAGATCAGCTGTTTGCCAAGATGCTCAGCAAGGCGTCTCACACGAGTGCGCCAAACGCACTCCCAAATCCGGAGGATGCTTGGAGACTGGAAGCGCTCAAGTCGTTTGATGACTCTCCCCAGGGGTTTGGGGCTGGACTGGGGACACGACTCGGGACCTTTTTTAATGCGACGCCTTGGAATCCCGTCATGAAGCGATGGCAACGAGGGGAAATGTCCAACTTTCACTACCTGATGATGGTCAATACCATGGCGGGAAGGACTTTTAATGATTTGACCCAGTACCCCGTCTTCCCCTGGGTACTCGCCGACTACACCAGCGAAGATCTGGACCTGGAGGATCCAGCGACCTTTCGAGACTTGTCGAAGCCGATGGGGGCGCAGACAGACGGGCGGGTCGCCGGCTTCGTGGAGACGTACAATGCGCTGCAAGAGATTGGCCAGACTCCCTTCCACTACGGCACGCACTACTCATCAGCCATGATTGTGTCGTCGTACCTCATCCGCCTTCCGCCGTTTGTGCAGTCGTATCTGCTCGTCCAGGGCGACAGCTTTGACCACGCTGATCGCCTGTTCCAGTCCATCGGAGACGCGTGGACCTCGGCCTCGCGCAAGAACAAGACGGACGTCAGAGAGCTCATCCCCGAGTTTTTCTGCCTGCCCGAATTCCTGACAAACATCAACGGGTACGACTTTGGGCATCGCCAGAGCAACGGGGCCAAGGTGGATAACGTGGCCTTGCCGCCGTGGGCAAAGGGCGACCCCAAAATCTTCATCGCTAAGCACCGCGAGGCGCTCGAGAGTCGCTACGTGAGCGAGAATCTGCACCACTGGATCGATCTCGTCTTTGGGCACAAGCAACGAGGCGAGGCGGCGGTGGAAAACGTCAACGTCTTTCATCACCTGTCGTACGCGGGCGCGAGTGACTTGGACCGCATCACGGATGCCAATGAGCGGGCGATTACGGCGGGCGTGATTCACAACTTTGGGCAGACTCCACATCAGGTGTTTGCCAGGCCGCATGCTGCGCGAGAGCACGTGCGATGCCCGATCAAGAGGCTTGACACGGGCGTTTTCTCGCTCAGCTGCCTGGACCACCCGCTGCTCGGTAAGAGCCTCTCCATTTTGTCCTCTAGCTTTGTGACTCGGCTGATGTTGGAACAGAGAGCCATGATCGGGTATCATCCCTCGTGTACGCAACCAAGCTCGATCGGCTCTTATGTGCGCCCCCTCTACGTCTCATTTTCCCTCCGTACGACAAGTTCCTTGACTGGGGCTATGCGGATAGCAGCCTGCGCTTCTTTTTCAGCGACAACCACAAACCCGCCGGTCTCTTCGAGAACCTCCACACGGGCCAGATTTCGTGCGCGTGTTTTGCAGACTCCAAGACACTTATTACGGCCGGCGAAGACTGCGTGGTGTCGGTGTACACGGTGCACACGGCGCCGGGGAAGCAGGTCGACCTGATGCCGAGGTCGAGCGTGTTTGGGCACAAGACGCCGGTGACGGCCATTGCCGTGAGCAAGGCGTTTAGCACCTTTGTGACGGCGTCCTCGGACGGACAGGCGTTTCTGTGGGACCTTAATCAGCTCTCCTTTATCCGCAAGCTGCCGCTCGTCCGACAGGTCGAGTGCGCGCGCATCAACGACGTGTCGGGCGAAATCATGCTGTGCTCGGGGCCCAATGTGCTCCTGTACACGCTCAACGGCACGCTGATGCTAGACCAAAACGTGTGCGCCGAGCCAGACGACTACGTGCACTCGTGCGCCTTTTACGAAGGCGCCAGCAACGAGTGGCTGGAGAATTACCTCGTCTTCACGGGCCACAGCAAGGGCCGGGTCAACATCTGGCGCAGGAGCGTGCTGGGGGGGAAGTGGACGCTGGAGCTGCTGCGGAGGCTGGATCACGTCGACTGCAAGAGCGACAAGAGGGACAACACCGAGGCTGGAATTACATGCATCACGACGATGCCGACCTGCCTGTATACCGGAGACGATGACGGTCGCGTGGTGAGTTATCCGAAGCTTCAAGGTCGTGGATGGTCTGGGACATGGGCTAACCGGCAGTAGTACGAGTGGAACTTTGGGCGAGCGGATAGATAGAGTCTCAGCCGCCGGGGCCGGAAGTCGTCTACGAGGAGCAGCGTGGGTTGAGAGGGTGGAGGTGTCTAGTCAGGAGCGACGCTGCGTGTAACACGCTGTGTGACTTGTTCGGACGCGATACACGTGAAAATACGGTAAATGGGAGTTGGACATGGACATGGCGCCGAGGGGCCAATGCTTGCTCTCTGAGCTAGTGTACATTACTGAACTGAGGCTGGGGGAGTCGTGGTTTGTTTCTGAAGAAAAGCGTCTTGTTCAGCGGTCATTTGAGATGCGCTTTGGTTGCTTGTTGCTCAATGGCCTCGGCCCGTCTCTTGAAATGCCCTTGGGAGCTCGGCAATGCCGCGTTCTCGGCTCGGTGGCGCTGGCTTTCGTCTTGGAGGTTGTCTAGTCATCGTAGCCGGACAATTGTTTCCGAGGGCCGGTAGGAACTAGAAAATGGCGTCAGTCAGTAACGGGTGTCCCGCGAGCTCGCCGAACAAGACCCATCGTACCGGGATAGGTGACGGGGATGGGCGCCGGGTTGATGTCGCCAAAGTAGTGGCGGATGGGGGGGACAATGGGCATGCCGATGGGCCCTGCAGCGCCGATGACGACGGACCAGAAGAGGGCGGGACGCTCGCGGGCGGCCCAGCGGCAGTAGCGGAGGGGCGCGGACCAGAAGAGCGGCGCCGTGGTGGCTGCGGGCGGCATGGTCCTGGTGGTGGAAGGGGTTAGCTGGCTTGTTTTTGAGAGGGGCTCGTGATGGTTGAGGGTGTGGGAGCGTACGCGGTTGGTGGGCGATGGAAGGACGGTGGTTGTCGTTGATGATGCTGGTGATGCCGGTGAGCGCACTTGATGGTGGGCGGCGCGGAAGATCGGAGAAACGTCTTTCCGTGCCTGGATCACTGTCACGTGCGCATCCTCCAAGGACAAGATTGGCAGAGCGCAGCACCTCCAACGTCGGACAATCTACAGTTCTTGCTCTGTAACTTAGATCCCGCATTCTTACCCTTGGCTGTTGCTGGGATGCAAACGCCGAGGACGGTACTGGTCACGCTTGTTCCCGCCAACAAACACATCCTGCGGCCGGCACATGGATTCATGATTCATTGACATTCCTGAAACACGGCAGATTTAGCCTCGAGCCGGATCAGAGCACCGTCCCTTGGAATGTGTGTGCTATATCCGTGCCTTGGGAGGCGGCCACGCTTGGAGCCGTCATTTCGGCTGCAATCCGTCGTCTCTCGAACCGGTTGAGAGGATTGACCACTGGGAAATCGTCAATCACGGGCACGCTCTTCTTATCAGGATTGACGCGGTTGACAAACGATTTCTTGTTGGTGGGTGGAAGCTCAGCGTTCTTAGTTGTCCAATGCTGACCGACACCACCCTTGTCTACCCTGACAATCGGTATCGGGTCTGGACTCGTCGAAGGATGTCGTCAAGTCTTTGTCGTGCTCTCCCCGACGTGCTCAAGTGAGCTGCCTGCCAAACACTCTGCATGAGCATTGGGAATTGGCACTGCGAATTCTTTGTTTCCACTCATGGAAGGCTGGGAAGAATCATCTCGTTGCATTATTCAGCAGCAACCATTGCGTCTTGGTAGGTATTTGAACACCCAACTCTACGCCTTGGCCGACTGAAATCAACCCTTTATGCGAATCGCCAGTAAATCACCCTCTTATTGTGGCCCCCCTGGATTCGATACCGTGAAAACCCTTCAGCTCATCCTGGCCGCGATAAGGAGAATTTGACGCCTATCCCTATTGCAAGCCAGGAACCGTCGTCACGTCCAAAACTCGTTCATCTATTGGCCCCTTTTCTCGCTGCGTCATGGCGGACAAGTCAAGCTAGCGTCTCGGCACGGAGCAGTAGGCTCGGGAGACTTGTCAACAACGAACGGGCCCACGCAGCTTTAATCCAAGCCTAGATGCCAAAGGTTGGGAGGACCCTTTTCGACCTGAAACGGCACTCAATTGCTCGGTTCGCGCCCGCTGTTGTGTGGAGGAAAGCCCACTGTTCTCAAACAGACCCTGGAATCATGGCTCCTTTGACGATGCGTACCCGGGGAGCCTCTGGTGACCCCGGACAATGCTTGAAGCCAAGCCGGAGATATGCCTGGCATCGTGCTCGATTCTTGGCGATTTTGGCATGAGGCTTGTGGATTCTGGCATGGCTGGGAACCGGCGGCGGCAATGGGTCGTCTGCTCGCCCATCTCGGGCCACTTGACACTCTGTGTATACCTGCGGCGCCTCGTCACCAGCCGAGAGACGGCGTAAATCTGTTTGTTCATCATTGCACAATGCCGGATAACTTGGATGACGACACCTTCGCGGTTCGCCACCTTGAATTCTCCGCCGAGTTGCCATCCATCGGCCGCCCCATGCTCTGCTCCATCGACGAGTGAGACGAACGCCCATGATTCCATATTCCGTGGCCGCTAAGATGAGACTAGGCCAGGAATCCCAGCCCTAGAGCCACTCGCCAACCCTGCCATCCCGAGCATTACACGCCAAGTAATGCGCCGTATGAGTACACGCACGAGCGATAGACCTGGCTGGCATAGATTCTGCGCAACGTTTGCGCAACTTGATACGCCGCGCGAACTGAGACGCATTATTATGACGCCGGCTGGCTGCTGCGAATGCGGCATGTAATCAGCGGCTTCTTCGAACTCGCGATTCGGGCAAGGCTGCGAAAAGAGTCGCTTGCTTGGAATCAAGCTCCATAATCGACTTGGTGCCTTTGCTCCGAGATGGCATGTCGAGAGTGCTTTTGTGGAATATTAAAGGCCTTGATTCTCCCAAAAGATGGCATTTTCTCCAGCCATCAGTTCGCACAAGACAACAATCAAAGTCTCTTCTCAACTCGCTTCAATCACCCATCTTCACCGAGTCCTTCGACCCATAAGCCAAAGACACCATCAAGATGCTCGTTACCATTGTAGGTGCCGGATGGAGTGGCTGCCATCTGGCATGCGAGCTCTCCAAAGAAGGTCACCAAGTCATTCTCCTAGAGCGCGAAAGCCGCATCTTCAAAGGCACCTCTGGGTCCTTTGGCATTCGTCTCCATAGAGGTATGCATCTAAGCGGAGGGTTTGCCTATGACACGAACCAGCTAATACCTTCACCAGGCCCTCACTACCCCCGTTCCAAGGCCACTCGCGTCAACTGCCAGAAAAAGTACAGCTTGCCTTTGACACGCTTCAAAAGCCAAGACTAACACGAAACGCAGCTTCGAGCGCTTCCGCGACATGTACGGCGACCTTGTCGTCGACCACGAGTTCTCGCTCTATGCCAACGGGACCGTCGACTCGCAAAACTTCCCGTCCAAGGTCTCGGATCAGACCTTCCACAAGGTCTGCAACGAAATCCCCGGGTGCAAGAAAATCGACCTGGCCGCCCGCAACTTTGCCGAGATGGGCTGCGCCTACGACGTCAACGAGCCCAGCGTGGCCATTGGTGCCCGTGCGCGCTGTCACTTTGAGAAGAAGCTCGAGAAGGCCGGTGTGAGTTTGGTCCTCGGCGCAACGGTCCAGAGCATCAAGCAGGTCTCCGTGTCCAGCAAACAACGGCCCAACATGTGCATCACCTTTCAGCAGCGGAAGTCGTCTGGCCCCGAGAGCCAGGCTGTCACGATAACGTTCCTGAGCCACGTTGCCATCAACTGCACTGGCTTCCAGGACTTTGTTCCCGAGGCCGTCATGAACCAGTCTTCCCCCGTCTACTTTGAGCACACCTACCAGGCGTGCCTGGCACTCAAGTTTCGCGACAACTCGCCCACCTCCACCAAGCCAATGTCGTTTATCTGCATGGACGGCTGGTTCCCGTGCCTGATGCCGGCCATTTCCGACACCAAGGACGACGCCACCCCTCACCAAGACTACATCCTCACCCACGGCGCTTACACCATCCTGGGCTCCTACGACAGCCCCGAACAGGCGCAGCACGTCCTCGACAAGAGGCTGACCGACGAGCTCGTCTCGGAAAAGATCCGCGGACCCGCCGAGAGCGAAATGTGCCGCTTCTGGCCCGAGTTCTCCCGCCGCTTCAGCTACAAGGGCTGGTACGGCAGCGTCTTGGCCAAGCCCAAGTGCCCCACCGAGTTTCGAAGCAGCTTTACCTTTGAGAACCAGGGCATCATCCACGTCTTTCCCGGCAAGGTGACCAACGTACTCGACGCGCACGACGAAGTCCTGACCCTGCTGCAAACAAAGGGCGCGTCCAGTCCGTTGATCATCGAGGAGGACGGCTGCCGATTTGTCGCCAATGGTGTCTTTGGCAAAGGCCGTGCGGAGCTGAGGAAAAAGTGCACGCAAAAGGACCGCAGCACCAGTAGCCTGCAGACGTTGGACGTCATGGTTGCGGTTTGAGGCTGAGTCTCGGGACGGGTTGTGGGAGAAGATGTAAATAGACCAAATAAGGATGATCTTGAAGACCGACATAGGCATAGAGCATTACCAATATCAACGTGGACACATTTCAAAAGGCCCGCTCGTTTACATGCCCTTTCTTGAGCTCAAGGATCTATTCTTGCCCACTGGCAATCGGCCTCGGTAGCAGGTCTGGCAGCGCGTAGCAGATATGCCGGGGGGGCGTTCGAGGCCCAAGTGATGCCTGTCTTCGTCTTAACGCCTTTGTGTTACTGCGGCCGATTCTTTGGTATTCTGAAGTCCTCTTTACCCTTTGCTGAGGTCAGTTGTAGAGACTGGAGAGAGAGCACTAATAACAGGGCCTTGACGGCCCCTCAGTTTTTGTCTGCTCATCAGGCAGAGTGGTCTGCCCTTTCGTCTAGACCCAACAACATTGTACAGTATGATTATGGGGTCTTGGAGTCTCTGCGCGTGGCCAACTACGAGACCTCCGCTATTCAGATCTGACAGTAGCTAAGAGACTTCTGACAGGGTACATGTGCCCATTTATTTTGCGTCGAGATCAGCCCCTACTGATCTAAGTGTCCCCTCCGGCATGAATTCCATAAACAGCTCGCCGTAGAGGGGGGGACCGTCTTTTGATTTGCAGCGTGATCTATAGACAAGAGAGACAAGCACATTCGGAGCGCGCTCCCCGACGAGTCGCATTGCTCGTTCTTCCGAGGCCGAACCTTGGTGCCGTCTTTGAGGACCACCCCCGGTCGAATTAAGCTGACTATGCATCCGAACTGCCCTGCCAATCCGACGTTTCTCGAAGGTTATATTATCTGGAGGTGTATAGTGAAGAAGATTGTCACGGTCAGATGGCCGTCAAGACGATACTGCGCACTCTTTCACATCATTACATCGATCGAGACAGACGCAACGGGCCTTTCCTCCTTCAGCTTACTGACCTTCACTCGAGCAATATCTTTGTTGATAATGACTGGAATATCACATGCCTGATTGATTTGGAATGGGTGTGCTCTCTGCCTGGGGAGATGCTTGCAGTGCCGTACTGGCTGACGGGAAGGGGGATCGACCAGATAACAGAGGAGCATTTCGATCATTTTGACAAGGTGCGACACGACTTTATGCGTGTTTTTGAAGAGGAAGAACAGGCGATGTCTGCTGGAAAGGGGCATCGTATTCCACTAGCAAGGACTATGAACAACAAGTGGAAGTCCAGGGCGGTGTGGTTTTGGCATTGTTTGGATTCTGTTAATGCTATGCATCGCATTCTCGAGGATCATGTGTGCCCCAGTTTCTCAGCCAGCCTCTCTCCGGAGCGAGAAAAGATCGTTTCGGACTTCTGGTGTGAGGACTCAGCAGCCATTGTCGCAAAGAAGTCGGCCGATAAGGAGAGCTATGACCTGGAACTGCGACAAATGTTCCATAAGGGTATAACGGTCGAGGAATCGGAAAATTAAGTCGAGATGTGAAGCCGAGTCGAGTTGTCGAGTCGTAGTGATGCATTTTGCATATGGATGAGATGAAGTGGGATCGTTGTTTCTCCAACTAAGCTATGACTGCCTCATCCTTATGTAGGAGGCAGCCAGGTCGGACTATCTAGGCGATCCGGCCGGTTTACAAGGCAGCCACATACCGATGCCTGTTCACACGGCTGCCTGTTTCACACGGCTGCCTGTTTCACACGGCTGCCTGTTCACACGGCTGCCTGTTCACATGGCTGTGCGTGCGGCAGCCGGTGTCCTTGATGCTTGGTGCCGTGCCCAACGCTCCAGTGTGCGTAGGGACACGCAAAACGCATCATAATGCCGGCCTCAAAAGAAAACTCCACTGTCCTCAGTGACTGCCTCAACAAAGGCTACATGTCAGAACTTTCCGATCGTCCCTTTGCTTTGCTGTTGCGAACCACTCGCGGTCCCGTCGTCTGCCCGTGGAACTCATCCAGGGCCTTTGACGATATCTCTTCCTTCCTGACCCACTGATCATGCATGCTGCCCCATCCTTTCCAGTGGACCAAGTACTCCGTGACGGGCTTCCTGTTTCTTCCAATCTTCCTGACCCGTACGTCCAGAAGCTTGTCAACTTCGTAGAATTCGCCTTCCTGGTCCGTAAAGTCCTTTGTGACTTCTACTGGTCCGGGTGAGCTTCTTCAAAGCAGCCTTCGTGAGCTGGCTTGAGGTGGTGTATTGAGATCACTGGGTGGACCTTAATTTGCTCTGGAAGGTCCAATTCACAGGCCAGGTCTCCAACCATCCTTCTGATCACAAAGGGCCTTCCGCTGTTGTGACCACTTCTTGGGTGGCCTGCCTGGCTGGTGATATCCCTGATGAAGCTTGAGATATACCTTGTCTCCAGCCTTGAGATGGATAGGTCGGTGTTTGGCATCGTACCAACGCTTGGCCTTCATCGCTGCAAGGTCCATAGCTAGGCTGGCCTGCTTACGCAAGGCTTCCTTGATGTAGGGCAATTCGTCTGCCTCTGCGCTGGCTGTGCGATCAACAGCCTCAGGGGCCCTTTCAGGGGAAACCGTACATTAGTTCATGGGCTGAGGTCTTCGTGCTGGTGTTGTAGGCTGTGTTTAGATGCCACTGCAGCGAAGGAATAAGGGTCTTCCAGTCAAGGTTGGGGTCCTCAATATAGGCCAGTCGCAACGCTGTTTCCACTGTTTGATTGCGCCGCTCGGCCAAGCCGTCCGCCTGCGGATGATATGCCGTTGTCATGCTGATTCTGGTGCCAAGGCCTTCCAGAGCCCTTGCCAGAAAGCAGAGGTGAATTTGCGGTCTCTGTCACTGACTATCGTGCGCGGCATGCCCCAATCACATAGCATGAGCTGCCTAGCTAGGGAGGCTGCCCAGTCCTTGGCGCTATACTTTGCATTGCCTGGAATCAGTAGGCATCGCTTGCTAGCTAAGCAAGTGACTGTAAGTAATTGATTAAAGGCATTAAAGCCTTCAATATGCCAGGGTGAGCCCATAGCTGAGACGGCAGGCATGTCTGTGATGAAGTCCATTGCAATTGACTGCATTGGAAGCATCGGGGGTCGATTGGGCAGATAGCTTCCAGCAAGCTGTTGTCGATCAGTCTGTCCAAGGCAGCAAGCTTTGCACTTGGCGATGTGCTTTTTCGCTTGCCAAGAGACGTTCCTGATCGAATAGGTTTCCAACTCCTTGAGCATTCTCACAACGCCAAAGTGGTGCTTGTCGTCGTGTGCCATTTGCATCAATTCGTGCGTGAGGCTTGCGGGCACGCAGAGACGAACATATCCATCTTTTCCTTCGTGATATAACAGACCCTGGTCCACGAAAAGGGAATTCCTCTGCGCTTGATTTTCGCGATTTCCGGGGCCTAGAAGCTTTGACCGTGTTCTCACTGTCCTGGATCATTTGAAGGATCTTGCGATAATGGGTATCAGCCTGATAGCCTTCTGTGAATTTGATGCGGTATGCTGGATCCATGATGGCCTCAGACGCAAGGAGCACATCGTCAAGCGCTGTGTAGTCAGGTCGTTGTCGCTCGATCAATTGGTCGGTCTCAGGGGCTGACAGCCTGCTTAAGGCATCAGGGATGAAATTGATTTTCCTGGAAGATGATCAACCTGCAATTCGTACTGAGAGAGATAGATGGAGGCTACTACTAGCCGTCTATTTGCTCTGTCCGTGCTTGAAGTGTCGAGGGAGGTCTTATTGACGATCTGCTGTGTGGCTGAATGGTCCGTAAGCACGATTAAGGGCTTCGTTGACGATTGGACCACTGTGCGCATCTTTTTGATAGCCCAGACTAGGCAGGCCACTTCTAATTCCGACGGACCATATGATCTCTCTGCGTTGGTGAGGTGCGGCTGAGAAAGCTATAGGTTGCATCGCTGTTGAGGAAATAGCTTGGCCAGGCTTCCATTCGTAACCTTCTTTAAGGTGGAAGTAGGTACAGGCAAATCCTCGTTGCAAGGACCCGTCAACTTGACAGAACAGTTGCCTGCTTGGGTCCATATGGTGGATCATCCTGCCGGAGGCTACTTCCTTTTGGATAGCTTCAAATGCCAACCGCTCCTTTTCACTAGGCTCGAATTTGGTGTTCCTCGCAAAGGCACGGCGTTTGTTGATGTTACCTTGCTGAATTTTGCCAATTTCTCGTCCTTGGGCTAGTAATTGAGTTTTCCAGTGCTGCAATGGCTCAATGAGGGCTCCATAATACGGTAAGAGATGCCGTAGGTAGCCTGTTGCTCCAATGTAGCTTTCCAACGCAGATAGCTGGTCTGGAAATTCCAGCTTTGCAAAGGCTGCCAGCCTGTGTTCCGTTGTGCTCATTCCAAAGGCATCAACGCGGAAGCCAGGAGTTGCACAGAGGATACCCAATCCAGCTTTTCTTTGGCGACATCGTGAGGTTAAAACGCTCGAATAGCTGGAAGATCTTGCTAAGGTGCTGTAAGTGCTCCTTTTCCGTTTTCGAATAGATCACAACGTCGTCCATAAACGCTCTGCAAAACCCCTTATATGGTCGAAGCACTCGATCCATATAGCGCTGGGCGTAGGCCGGGCTATTGCAGAAGCCAATTGGTGCAACAGTCAGTCTTTCCAGTCCTCTATGGCTCGTGAGGGTAAAACGATCACGATGTTCGAGTTTGACTCGGAATTGGTGGTAAAGGACGATGCGTCGATTGCTGTGATGTACTGTGCGCCTCGAAGCTCTTGGATGATGTCTTCTTGCAATGGCAAGGATAGCTGTCTGGCATGGTGACCTTATTAAGAGCTCGCAAATCGATGACGACCCTGCCCTTGGTTTCTCCTCGGGCTGTTCGCCACACAACGAAGACGGGGGCTGCAAAAGGGGTTGGTCCGTGCACGTATTCCATACGTCCTTGTGCGTGGAGCTTGTCATGGGTTTCATCAATGACCTGTTTGTCTCGTAATCCCTGAGGATAGGGGCGTTGAGCCACCTTGTGCGTGTGCCAATCCTTGATAAGGGAACTGTGAGCTCGTGGCCTGCTTCGACTT